CCTCTATGCGGACCTAGGCCGGCTTGACGAGGCGGAGAAGATGTACCAACGTGCACTGGACGGATACGCAAAGGCGTTCAGTCCAAAGGATCTCATAACCTGCGTCCCAGCACTAAACAACATGTGGGCATTCGCCTCTTTGCGCGAAAGACAAGGCCGTGTAGATGACGCTAGGCGCTGGTACTCGCAAGCCCTTCTCGGCTATCAGAAGACGTTTGGGCCAGACCACTACATGTGCGAGTCGTTGCGCAACAATATTGCGTCGCTGGTGCCTGGAGAGGCACGGAGCAATAGTACGTTTCTGCGCCTGAATGCTGTTTCTCTTGACTAGCAAAAGATGCGGCTATGGTAGGTGCTTGCTCAGACAGCCACTAAAATCGGCATGTCAAAGGCAGTTGTCAGATATCAGGTCACTGAGGTGAGGTCGGCTGGCCCGGGTCTGCACGCGGCATGGAGATGAGGCATTGAGAGTGAGTTTAGTGAGCAGGAACTCACTGGATTGGTTGCCGTGTCCAACAGTGATAGAGGCTCTGATCCCCAGAGAACGGACTTAATGTCGGGTCTGAAGGTAACGACAACGAGACTCTGTAGGCGCTGGTCAGCTCAAAAGGAAGAGGCCGCGAGGCGTGCGTACCGAATCCCTCACGGCAGCATCACGGCGGTGAGGCAGAAGGCCTGTGGGTACATTTGGCCCCGCGGGTGTCGCAGAAGTCGCACTTGCCAGGGCTGTGTGGAAAGCTGGTGTGCGCGAGTTTGACTCTGAGGACATGGCTGCGGCAAACGGTCAGCTGGCTCTGTCGTCAGTCGAAAACGCGCGATGGCGACGCACCAGTGTGGGAAGGACATGCTGGCTGCTAGAGCTGCGCGCTGCTGGCCGTGGGCTTTCGCGACAGACAGTGGCATTTTGTAAGTGGAGGAAGTCTTTCGCGGAGCTGCGCTCGGCCTGGTGGCTCATGAGTGGCGAGCTGGTAAACGTGGATGGGACGGCGCAGGCATCGCGCAGACTGCGTTCTTGGCGGCTTGCGAGAGATGGAGGTGCCAAATACGATGAGAGAGACGAGGTCTACTCGGAGTGGCCCGTGCAGACGATCGAGCCTGGGGCGGGAAGAGGAGGAGACGGTGACGCGCCATGGTCGGAGCGAAGGGAGCAGCTGCGTATGCTCTGGCGACGGGCGACAGTGGCCAAAGAGCGGGAGAGACAGCAGCGGCGAAGGCGGAGGCTGTATGGGATTGTCTTCTCGGGTGCGGCGAGGATGCGACGTCGGGCGAGGGCGACTATGCGGTGGGGATGCTTGGTACCCGACTCGCTCGCTGCACTGTACCAGTAGGTGCTGGAGAAGACCACGAGCGGGAGCCTTTACAGAGCACCGCCGCCGCCTGACGACTGCAAGGGCCATATTTGTTAACAAGCCTGCTCTTTACCTTCTTGTTGACGCTGTGTCAGACTGTTAGTCTTGGTGAACGCCGGGACCCACTGACACTGGTGTACACATTTGCGTTGTCGCACGCCGCAGCAATGCGCGTGCTCGCTGCTCTCCCCAGACACAGCTTCTGTCCCGCCCTTGGACACCATTGATTTGCTGTCGCTGACGCAGAGTTCTGCTGCAAGTACTTGCGCGGGCTGACTAAGAACAACATTGTTGCGGCAAACGTAGCCGCTGTATATCGATGGAAAACTGCGCTGAGTTGCTTGCTAGCTAAGAGGCGACCATATATACATGCCCTGAGACGTGCTAGTCCAAGGTAGTCAACAGAGGTGACGATCAAGGCCTGTCGGACCGACTTGCACCGCAACAAACATGAACTGAACATGCGCTAGTTCCTAAGTTGCTCGCTCGCAGCCTTCTCCATACCGGTACCTGTACGCGTCGGCGTGCATCACGGGGTGGGGCACGGTACCGGTAGTTCATCCTCGCATTGTCGTGATCTACGAATAAGTCTGGTCGCGCGCCGCTCAACAATGGAAGCCGACCTAGTTTCGATCAGGCGAACACATCTGTCGCAAATCTACGAAGCTTCAGCTTTAAATCTAATTCAAGTTGGTTGCACACTTACCTTTCGTTCCTCAATCCCTCGAACCACTCCCTCGCCGTCTGGTCGTCCACCTCTATACCCTCCTTCTTCATTTTAGTCTCCTTCGCGATCTTGATCAACGTCTCTTGTGCGCCGTCGCCAACGTCCCTGCTGCCACATACGAATAGCTTACTGCCCGCTTCGAAAAGGTCAACAATCTCTTGTCTGTCGTGGTACAGGCGGTCTTGGACGTACTTGCAGCCCTCAGACTGATCCGATGCGCGTGAGAAGGCGTAACGGGAGGATACTGCACCAAGCTGCTTCCAACACTTTAGTGGATCAGAGTAAAGAAGGTCGCTGTCAGGGCTATGGCAGCCGTAGAAGAGAAGCGCGGGAGCTAGTTCGCGACCAGCGGCGAGCTCTTGGATAGGCAAAGCCACAGAAAGGCGCAAGACCTAAGACGATCAATATTTGGCACCGCAAAGCAAAATAATGGGTTTCTTACCTGTACCAGCAGCGATCATGATCACCGGAACATTCTTCAAGTCTTTGGGCAGATGGAAAGCTTGATGACTCGACCAAACGCTGACATGGAGCTTGTCGCCAGCTGCAAGATTCGATAGGTAATTCGTAGCCACGCCGACGAAACGGCCTTGACCACTCAGCACCGGCTGGTCAACAACAGCATAAGTGAGCGTGGCATTGTTTGGATTCCAGAGTGGTGATGAGGAAATCGAGTACTGGCGGACGCGCATCGGTGGCTGCATCTTCAGAAAGATGCCAAGAGGAAGCTGAACCGAAGGGAATCGCTCGAGCAAATCTAGCACCGAGACACGCTTGGATGTGATCTCATGGCCGAATGCGTCCTCTGCAAGACGTGTGAGTTCCTTCTGTGTAGCCTCATCACGTGTCGCGTCCGCCAGAGCATGTACATTACGCCTGCTTGCCGGCTGTGCGAGCTCAATGTATGCTCCAAAGACATCAATGGCACTGATAGGCTGGTCTGCGGGCAAGGTAGTCGGTCCAGTCGAGGAGATGGTCAGCATGCTCTCCCAAGACAAGCCGAAATGTCGCATCGCGCGCTGGATGTTCTCCTTGGGGTTCCAAGGATTGCGAGGTAGTCGCCGGCTGAGTACATCATACCGGATGGGAGGCTGATCTCGATGTGTCATTTCTCAGAGACGCCGGATCCAGACAGGACCTGGACATCTTCGACGCGTGCCTCGCGGACGTCCTGACGTAGAGTTGAAGATTGCGGTGTCGAGATCTCGACACCGAGTGTTGCCTCTAATAAACCCTCGCCCTCAACTTCTGCTGACCCGTACTTTTCCTTTACAGCAGGCCAGAATACTCGATCTTCCCAAGTCTCGAACTCGGTGAAGATGTCGCCCTGAGCGGCGTCAGCGGAGCCCATGTCGACAAGGCAAGTGGCGCCAGCTTTCTCCAATTCTTGATTGAGGTACTTTGGAACCTTCTGGAACGTCTTGGCCCAATCGCGATGTCCACAGCCGAACACGGCATATGATACACCCTTGAGTTCTGTGCCGATCCACTGTACGAATTGTGTCGCGTTATCAGCGGGCTGACCCTCGTACGAAGCAGTGATAATGGCGATAGGCCTGTCAGTTGGCAAGTCAGCCTTCGCAAAGTCCAGAGCATCGACGACATCAGCTCTGAATCCGTGATTTGAAGCGTCGCTGGCAAGTCTGTTGGCCAGAGCCTCGCAAGTGCCGTTATTCGAGCCGTAATAGATCGACATTGGTTTACCCTTCGCAGGCGCTTTCTTGCATATTTGTTGCGCACCGTTCGCTGGTGGATCATTGAGCGTAGCAGAAGCAAGTGTGCGCTCCAGAGCAGTCGCGGACACGCCACTACGTAGGCGTGCGCGCATGTAGAAGTCTTTTGGCTTGATGGAGAGGGTCTGCTTGATGTGGAGTTGATATGACGGATCATCCAGAGAGAAGTGGAAGTTCTGCAGGAGCATCGCCATCACTAGAAGAGCTTCTTGCCAGGCGAATGGTCGGCCAATGCAGGCCCTCATACCATTGCCAATAGGCTTCCACGAATTAGGGAACTCCTTTTCACGGCGAGTGAATTCCTCTTCCAGCATTCTCTCGGGTCGAAATTCTTATGCATCTTCTCCATATACAACAGGGTCGCGATGGATCTTCGGGAAGAGTGTGAGCAACGGAATGTTGGCTTTGACTGGGTATTTGCCACCAATGAAGGTGTCTTCCTTGGCTGCAAGCGCCATCGTGGGAGCATTGGGCCTTAGAGGCAGTGTCTCTCGTAGTATCGCGTTCAGGTACGGCAATTTGGTAAGATAATCGATGGTAATAGGGCCGTTACCGATTACCGTATCGACTTCTTGCTGCGCGACCTCGTATGCAGCAGCGTTTTTCAGCAGACAATACCAGGTGAACGAGAGCAGTGCAGATGTCGTCTCGTGGCCAGCAATGAGAAACGCGATCAGGTTGTCCACCACGCTTTCGTCCTGCACATAGTTAGCACCAGTGATAATTGATTACGCGCAAATCACGTACTGTCATGGTCTTGCCAGTCTTTGGATCGACGCCTTTCAGCATGCCATTGAGGAGATCCTTCCTGTCTGTAGGGTTTTTCTTGCGCTCGTTTATCACATCAAAACTTGTCTTGCGGAGCAATGCGATATCCTCTTGGTACTTCTGGCTTTCCGTGCGGTAGAACATCTGCGTTACGGCGTCTCTGCAGCTACGATCCCCGCTGATTTTCAGGAAGTCTGCCATTGCCTCGACAAATGGATGCATGCTCTCCGAGTAATAAGAGTTGAAGCGATAGTCCATTTCACACAGGCCGATAGTGTCCAGCGTCATTCTTGTGAAGTCTTCACTGACCTGGATGCGGTGGTTGGGTCCGTGGCGTGCCCACTTCGTGACAAGTTGCGAAGCAATGTCGTGCATCTCTGGGAACATATTGCGAATGGCCAAAGGGCCGAGCTGGGGGAGCAGCACTCGATGTGCGACCCCCCAGTTCTCTTCCTGAGGACCGCGTGCTGTGAAGAGACCGTCATGTACACCATTGCGGACTTGCTCTAGGGTAGGAGCGATGAATTTTTAGAAGCGCTCCTCGTTACAAATTTCGTTCATCAGTGCTTGTGATCCAATCACAACACGCTCCTCGCCGCCGAGTTTGAACTTCCATATTGGACCTGCTACTATCAGCTACCAAACATTGCGTTATCAGAAGGCGGTGTACCATATGTATCTGTGAGGTTGCAGAGTGACAGCATGGTGTTCTCGGCGTCGATGTCCGAAATGTTGCCTACGAAAGGAAGGCCAGGAGGCCCAGGGATGGTCGCTGTCTCTACAATCATGAATACAGTGTAAGAATTGAATGGGAATAGGTGGTCTGGATGAGGGCTGTTGGCTGGTGTACGCTGTAAGTATACCTGGGTATGTTACTATCAGTATGCAGCGCTCGATCCACGTTGCATCGGAGGCCCCGGGCCTCGTCCGCGCATAAATCGGCACCACAAATGACGCGCTGCAAGTGCGTCGCGCATCTTGAGAAGGTTGTGGAGAATGGCTGCTGGGATGATGCTTCGGTCGCTGGTCGGTGTTGACTGATGCGAGGACGCTGATTGGCTGGGACCTCTCTCGGTCGAGTCGCCCGACGGCGGAGCCCGGAGTATCAAGGTCGGCCGATGAGAAGGTTGATCTGCATAAAGGCTCCGATGTTGAGTGTCGCCGATCCAGTCGTGCCTGGAAACAATTGCGAAATGATTGCAGATATTGAAGATCGCGCCGTGAAGAGAGTGTGGCGCTACATTACCGGTAGGTCGATAGGTCACTGTGATTGTGCGGATTGCAAACGCTCGCATGTGGCTGTAAAGCCATGTCATTGAGCGTCAGTTGAATTTCTAGAGCACGACAAGTACACCGTCTCGCTTTGACAACCTTCGACAGTAACGATTCAAGACGTCATGCTCAACACATCTGATATTACTTGAAATCACGGTCCGAAGTTGCACGCTCCTTCAGCGCTTTTACCCTGGACGTCTCCATATGTCAGATAAATGAGCTCTCCTACAGTGTGAGCGACACAACAGCATTTTCCATAAATACACACCATGAACACTTTCATGATCACATTGTGTGAATCAGGATACGATATCGTACCTCGAGCACATCTTCGCTTTGGAGAACGACTCTACGGCCAGGGGTCCTCTTTATCCATCACCTGGAGACAGGTAACAGTAGGAAGGAAGATAGTAAACGATGCAAGTATCGCTTCAAGTATTTAAGTAACTGCGTCCAGGTTTTGAGGATCCTTTCGAGGACTTGAAAGCATCGGGATCCATAGTCGCAAGCTTGCAGGGGTCAGTGCGCCTGATCTCGATGACTCAAGGAGCTGCCTTGTGGAAGCAGATCTGTAGCATCGAGAGCCTAAATCGCGAACTTAACAAGTACGATCATAATCGTCTAGAGGCCCTCGTGCCACCATTTTTGCGCTGTCGTGGTGCATCTGACATTTCAGATTGTCGGCTTGCAAACATCAGCGCAGCGCAAGATGATTGACCTCGAAACATGACTATCTCCACACAAACCACGGCACAATCACTGCTACCACAAAAGTAAGTGTGGAGACCGTTGCATAGTAAACACACTGAGACAGATCGTAGCCTTAAGGGCGTTACTACCTGTACATGTAGACAAACACCAGCAACTAGGGAGGACACGAGATAGACTGAATGAAAGGCGTATCTCGTGCATTTTAATTTTGTCCTCAGACACCACAATAGTAGCGCGACAGCCTGCTTGCTCTAACAAACTGGCTGCGTCCACGATGTGTCGATATCATACACAGACGATGGCCACAACAATATGACGGGATTTAAGAAGCATACAAGCATCGTAATTTAATTGCTCGCTTATAATACAACAATCACATTATTACCACCACATTACCATTCCGTCGTACCATCGTCGCTTCTCACCCATGCTCGTTCAAGGCCGAAACCCTGTTGTTTACAAAGCGAGAAGAGCAAGGGCAGCGGCACCGAGGAGTCCAGCAGCCTGGGTAGCCTGCGCCGCAGCACCGGTGAACTCGCTGACGCTGGAGCTGGCAGCAGCAGAACCGCTCGCAGCAGCGCTACTAGCAGCTGAGGTGACAGACACAAGAACACTTGACGCAGCGCTGGCGAGGCTGGAGGCGGCGCTCTCGACGGCCGATGAAGCAGCGGAAACAGCAGAGGTGGCCTCGCTCGCGGCGTCAGAAGTCGCGGACTCGACGGCGCTGGCAGCAGAAGATGCGGCGCTGGCGGCAGCAGAAGTAGCCGATGCGACCGCCGAGGAGACGTTGGGGATCTCGATCGGCACGCCAGCTTCCTCGCACGTCGACTCGACGGCGGCGACGGTCGTGGCCTCGTCTTCGGCGCTGCAGGCAGCCTTTACACAGGGCTGGACAGTCGACAGTAGGGTTGCGCCTTGCTTGCAGTGGCAGGCGAAGTCGGTGAGCGAGGCGCAGCCGTCGCTGGTCAGGGGGCCAACGAAGCAGTTTAGCTGCAGATTGTTAGCTGAATGTACGAAGCAGAAGACTATTGCAGTGGCGTACGGCGCAAGAGGGGATCTTGTCGAGCTGGGCGGAGGCAACAGTGGCCAGGGCGATGATGGAGGTAAGAGCGAAGGTCTTCATTTTGGTGGCTGTGTTGGGGTGTTGGGCGGCGGAATCAACGAGGGTGTGCTTGAGGGATGGAGTCTACAGAGCTGATACCGCTTTATAAACCTATACGCATTGGCCCTGAGTAAGGAACACCTCGTATTCAGGAGATCCATTGGCCATCATCATCACATGCTCTTTCAGATTGACCTCCGACAGCTAGGGATGTTGGGAGATCCCTCGAAATTCATTTGGGCTGGATCGAGAGGAGGCATGCTCGCCGAGACCACAATACCTTTCAGCAAATGACAGTCTCGAACACAGAGGAGCAACTGCCCTTCGCGACCAAGTTTACACACTTTCCGGGGTAGCCTGAGCAATCCCTTTTATTGTCTCGGCACGAAGCGAGCTTCGAGTTTCAACTGATTGGCTGTAGATGCTGCGCTTTTACGTCTGAGAGCGTTGCGGCGGTAGCAGGTCGGGGGTACTGTCTTGTTCAGAGACCAAGACCGGTGCCCCAGACGCCACAAGTCTTCCTCGACGGGGTGTGGTGCCGCAAGTGGCCGCGGGCGTGGATCGCGGCGGATGCTGGTTTTGGCATGGCATGACGCAGGAAATCCGGGGTGGCTTGGCCGTTCACAAGCTCGCGCGCACTCAAACGCAACGTCTTGCGGGAACACAGCTCAAGATGTGAGTACAGACCGAAAGACGCCGTTCCCATGTCTGGCAAAGTTATGAGAGTCAAATTGTAAGGCGATCCATCGTAGAATCCGCGCTCCTGACGCGCCGTTCAATCATTATTGAATGCCTCCTTTCTTGGTGATTTTCCCGAGATGGCAACTGTATTCGGGCAGGAACTGGACCAGTGGTAGAACGGAAGACAGTTCCGGGCCGCACGCCTTGACGTTACACTTGGAAGCCTAAATGTGCCCGCAATTAGCGAGTGGCTTGCAATTATTCGGAACAACCGGCGGCTACCTCGTGAGCTTTGCGCACGGTACCTGCGTCTGCAGCCTCAAGTTGCGAGCAGTCGTGAAAAATGCCATTCCCGCAGCGATTGCGACAGCTGGTCATGCTCGTAATTGCTGTAGAGCAAGGCAGTTTTTAGACAGCTGTGACTTTTTCATGGCGGGCGTGACGGCTCGGTCTGTTGTGACTGGTGAGATTCCCTCGGCAGCATGTGCGTGCACATGAATCCCATCACAAACACAGCAGAAGACTGAGGAAACCCGCGGTCGCCGAACGCTTGACCCGAGCTGCATCGAGTGTGACGATGCGGATCGTGTTTCAAATCATCCTGATCGCCTTGCCAATTCCTTGGAGTAACGTGGATGGCGCTCGTGGAAGAGCATGCAGCCTCGCGGAGACAATTTAACGTAATGAGACGGATCAGGAAGGGAGGTCGGAAATGTTGAAGCTAACCACAAAAGCGACCGGGAAATTCAATCGACTCCTGGAGAATGCGTAGCGTCAACTACCGTGGTACTCATCAATGATCATTCGTAGCCCGCGCTGGCAGCCTTGCATGTTGGACTGTCTTTGGCATGTCTGTTTGAGTAAACGCGCCTTCAACACCCGCACACTTATTGCTCGAGGAGTCTCAGCTCGATTTTCTGAGCAAGTCTGTTGGCGAGTTGAAGACGTACTCTTGGACTGCCTGTCACGCTGAGCGTCACTCGATCTGCTGGTAAGCTACATAGCTTTACTGCGCTGAGCGGGACTCCCGTGAGCCATCATACGCAACTGGCAGAAATATTCAGGTTTCCCTCACAGAGTGTATACCACTTTGTTCCTATTTGTTTGCGGTGCTACTTCGTAAAGTCGACGTTATGACTGCAAAGCGAAGAAATGACGAAGTAGCGAGACTTGAGTTGCAATCGAGGCGAGACGAGGTCAGCTCAATCACCAATGAGACTGGTCGATGGACCGAGAAGAAGTGATTAATGGTGCTTCTTTATATCTGAAGCCCTCTGATGCCGAGATCAGCCCCTTGTGTTGCGACATCTTGCTGGATTGCTCTTTCCCCTAGCCTCAAGCGTATCGATAGGTGACTAATCCAGTGCTTTGGCAGTCGCGCTAAGGAAATCACATCATCGAATTCCATGCCGCGGTTGAGAACCCTGCCAACGCCGTGAAAAGCTCTAGCACGCCGTGTAACACTCAGGCTTTCGCAGAGCCCTGCCGAATATACAGAGCGGATACGCGACACTCAACTCAACGCGCGATGGCGACAACAGCACCAGTTCCAAGCTCCACCGAGCAGCTCGTGCAAGCATCGGCCAAACGGACAAGAGATATATTTGCAGCAGATTTCGCGTCCCCAGGCGCGCTCGACCATACGCCAAACCCTGCATTCTCCATCACTGCCACAACACCCGCGCCGTCGACAGCGGCGGACCAGGTGAACGTTGCCGCACGCATACGGAACGAATACGAGCATGTGCGCGACCTGCCTCCAGCGCTGGCTGCCAAGATGGCCGCAGCAGCTTCAACAGCGGCTGAGCGGCGGAAGAAAATCAAAAACCAGAATGCAGAAGAGCAGGCGTCGGACCCCAAGATGCGCGAGATGATTGCAGGCGCGTCTGAGAAGGCGGACAAAGCGAAAGATGGGCAGTCAATGGCGCTAACGTTGAGAGCCGGAGGAAAGGGCGCAGCGCCCAACGCAAATGGGCCGACGCCGAGCAGGATTGCGACGTCGAGCTCTCTGGTGCGCAAGGACACAGTTAGACAGACAAAGCCGGAGTGGCATCAGCCTTGGAAGGTCTCAAGGGTCATGGCGGGCCACATGGGTTGGGTGCGGTCGCTGGCTGTGGACCCAGACAACAGGTTCTTCGCTAGTGGTGCAGCCGATCGAACTAGTGCGTACTTTCTCCTATAGCATGTATGTCTGCTTGCTAATCGTTCGCAGTCAAACTCTGGGATCTTGCCAGTGGACAGCTGAAGCTGACATTGACTGGACACATCAGCGCTGTCCGCGGCCTGGAAATTTCGCCTCGACACCCGTATCTATTCTCCTGCGGTGAAGACAAGATGGTCAAATGCTGGGATCTGGAAACAAACAAGGTTATTCGCCATTACCACGGTCATCTCAGCGGCGTCTACACTCTTGCGCTACACCCTACACTGGACGTGTTGATCACCGGTGGTCGTGACGGCGTGGCAAGAGTCTGGGACATGCGGACAAGAACAAACGTACACGTGCTTAGCGGCCACAAGGGCACAATCTCCAGCATCAGGGCACAAGAAGCGGATCCACAGGTCATCACAGGCTCCATGGACTCGACCATCCGTCTCTGGGATCTGGCAGCCGGAAAGACACAAACGGTACTAACACACCACAAGAAGTCCGTCCGCGCACTCGCACTCCACCCCAAGGAATTCACGTTCGCCTCTGGTTCGTCACAGTCGATCAAGCAATGGATGTGCCCGCGCGGCGACTTCATGCTCAACTTCCAGCCCGCGAACAGCATCGTGAATACGCTCTCGGTCAACGAAGACAACGTCATGTTCTCTGGCGGCGACGACGGTTCAATGTCGTTCTGGGACTGGAAGACCGGCCACCGCTTCCAGCATACAGAGCAAATTGCGCAGCCCGGTTCGCTAGACGCTGAGGCTGGAATCATGTGCTCGACGTATGATAGGACGGGGCTGAGGCTGATTGTTGGTGGGAGTGATAAGTCAATACAGGTCTGGAAGCAGGATGACAACGCGACTGAGGAGACGCATCCGCTCGACTGGCAGCCTACGCTGGGAAGGCAGAAGTTTTAGGCTGCGCGGCTGCATTTGCATGGAGCACTGATGGTGTTGGGGCGTTCAAAAGAGATACCAAGCTGTAATATAGCTGAATTTAGAAGTGCAGGGAAAGCCCGGGCAGGTCGCTTGCTTCAAGAGTCGTGACTGCACCTTTTTACTCGATCATGCTGGGTCCGGATCCTGCATCTCTGGCTGCAGAATTGCGAAGAGTTAACATCATGTTTCTACCTCTCTCCTCTGCAAGTCTTCGACTCTCCGATGACGGCAGATGTATGTCTCAGGACCGTATTCGTATAGTGGTCCGAGCGCTTCACCGCGGCGTTCGCACAGCCGACGCCCAGCTCACCGACTCCGATCCCCCACACGCGGGCACAAGATGCGCCTCGCCAAGAAGGGACTATGGCCCTGAAGCGCAGAGATGTAGTCCTTGCCGCCGTCGCCCTGTTCGTGGCCTGGGGCTACCTCACCCACTGGCAGCCCAAGCTGCACTACCTGCCTTATGCGTTCGTCGCCGGCGCACTCGCGACGCTGGCCGGAGGGGCCTGGCTGACGCTGTCCACGGCCTGGGGTGCCAGTGCCCGAGACGGGAATCTGAGGCAGAGCGGGCGGGATTATGGAGCAAGACACGCAGCGTTCGTGCGCCCGGAGCGCTGGAAGAACGAGATCGAGGCGCTCACCAAGCGCAACGAGTACATGATGGAGCCCTTGGACCCCTCCTCGTTTGTGGTCAGCGACAGCCTAGACGTCTTGATCGGCCTGGTCCTGCGCGACTTCGTCAAGAGCTGGTACGGCAGCATCAGCAAAAGCCCCACGTTCGTCAACGAAGTGGACAGGTGCATGCGCGCGGCGCTGGGCGAGCTGCGCCACCGCATTCTTACCGTCGACATGGTCGATATGGTGGTCTCGCGGCTGATTCCAGTTGTCACGGAGCATCTGAGGGCGAGCTATGAGGCGGAGCAGAGTGTCAGGGGTAGGAAGTTGATGCGCAACGTTACAGAGAGTGAGGAGTTGGATCTTGCGATTGCAGCAAAGTACAAGGAGGGCAGACTGCATCCTGCGGCCAGTCTCGCGTACTCGAATACGAAGCCGATCCAGCAGCAGCATCTGCGCGGGCTGGTTGCGAGGATCCTGCCGAAGCTTTTGCCGCCAGACATGATGACGAGTCCTGCGGTCAATGTGCTTGTCAAGGAGCTGGTGGCGTGCGCGGTGCTGTCGCCGATCATGCAGATGATTGCGGATCCGGATATGTGGAATCAGCTCATGGAGGGCTATGTCAGTCAATCGAGGCCTCATGTCCCTGACACATACTGATTCTCTCAGGGCCGCACCCTCCTCCAGGAACGGAAGACCGTCCGCAAAGTTCGCGCCGCCCTCGACCAGCAGACGCCTGCCTCGCCCAAGATCCCTAGGAATTTTCAGTTTCCCAAACTCGCGCCGGGCGACAATGAACGCCGCTTCGAAAAGTTCATACGCGCCATCAGGCAGACAAATACACTGGCAGACGCTCGCCGTTTTCGCAGCGAAATCTCGAGTCAGCTGCGAAAGGACGCGCAAGTCGATGGGCAGGACGCCGTGTATCTGCGGCGCCTGGAGACGGCACGCAGTATACTAGACCAGAAGGTCACGAACCTGAGTACTGGCGGCTCGGTTCGAGCTAAAGTAGCAGCTAAAGAGAAGCCAAAGCACAAGAGGACTTCGTCTCGATTCGCCAACGCGTCTCTGCGAGAAGTGCTATACGATGCATCTGGTCTTTCTTGCTTCATGGAGTTCATGGATCAGGCAGATTTGATGCGTCTTGTACAATTCTGGATCGTCGTTGATGGCTTCCGGAACCCGCTTGAGGATGAGGTGGATGACGATGAGCCTCCAGCTCACAGTGGCCCACTGCCTGCTTGGACCGAGTCAGACCGCGCAGATATCGCCCAAATTCATGATGGATACCTGTCAAAGCCAGAGCTGAAGATTCTCCCAGAAGCAAGGCAGGCAGTGTCCCAGTTCCTCAAGGCTGGACGAAAGGCCACGCCGCAGCACTACCAGGATGCACGGCGTGCTCTACTCCGAGCTCAGACGGACGCGTACGATCAACTTCAAGAGCCGTACTTTAGACGCTTCAAGAGGTCAAACCTGTACTACAAGTGGCTTGCGATGGATGAGGCCGCAAATCCGAGCAGAACCATTGCAACGCAGTCTATCGCACAGACCTTGGACAATCCATCCGTGGCTGCTCCAGCAATGCAAAGGTCGCAGTCAAATCAGAGGCCTATGCTCAAGCTACCAGCAGGGGACCTGCGCCGCGCAGTCGCATCATCCTCGGATCTCAAGAGCCAGAGCATCATCAAAGACTTCGAGCCGCCGCTCAGACGATCACTGGACGTGCAATCCCCCAACGCCTTCCGTTCACCTTTGTTCGATGACGATTACGACACGGATACAATGATGCAGTCAACAGCAAGCTTGGATTCCGACTTCGGTCAAAACCAAGCCAACGGAAACAACAGCCAGGTAGTAGATGCCATGCACGCGGCATTGACCGACATCATGGACGAACCTGAGGGCTCCATATTCTACGATCCCAATTTGAAGTCACCACAAGATAACGACTCACAGAAAGCATCGGTCGATATCCCGCGAGCCATGTCACCTAGACCAGCGATGCAGAATAGGAAAGAAGGCGAAAAGCCGAGCATAGCATCCCTGGGGCTCGTCGGTGCACCTAGGACTCGCGGCGTGTTTAATGACGATCTCTTCGGCGACGAACAGAAGTTCCTCGAGGATGAAGTCGAGGATACGTCGCCCAACCCAAACAAGACAGACGCCGAGGACATCCACGAAGCCGCACCCGGAGACTTGGGTCTTGCGGAGGCTATCGATGCATTGACCGCAGATATCGAACGCCTGGTCACGCAGGAGTCGATTGTGGACTCGCTGACGAGCAAGGCCGAGTTGACGAACAATGCCGCGGAGCTGAGAATATTAAGGAAGAGTAAGGCAAGCTTGCAGAGAGAGATTCAAAGGAAGGAACTACAACGTCAACAGTACATCGTTCAGGAGAGTGATAACAGTCTGTACGGCCGCGCTACGGTGTTTATACAATCCATTATGGTCGGTACAGAGGAGGATGGAAAGGAGTACGCAATGTGTAAGTCCAGGTCTCTCCCTCAGCGCCACGCGATGCTGACCGTAAGATAGACGTGATCGAAGTCAAGCGCAAAGCAGGCGACCAGATGCCTGCCGCCACATGGGTCATCTCGCGTCGATACAGCGAATTCCACGAACTGCACAAGAACCTGCGCTCCAAATTTCCCCAAGTCCGGACCCTCGACTTCCCGCGTCGTCAAATGATGCTCAAGCTCCAAAAAGACTTTCTGCACAAACGCCGCATCGGGCTGGAGAAATACCTTCGCGAACTCCTGCAAATCCCTTCAGTCTGTCGTTCACGCGAATTGCGCTCGTTTCTGTCAGCGTCCGCCATAAATCCCGCAGACACCCTCAAGAACCCTGCCGAGACGAACGATTTCGTCAGCAGGATATACAGCAGCGTGGCCGACGGCATGGAAGAGTTCCTCGGCAACATTCCCGTGCTGGACCAGCTCAGTGTCGCAGGCCAGAATTTAATCTCAGCAGCCACTACGCAACTCGCCGCAAGCCATGCCAGCGACCCCAATGTGCCTGGGTTCGAAGCAGGGCTCGGCATCGGCGACGCAGAGGCAGAAGCCGAACTTCTCGCGTTCGAGAACAAAGAACTCGAACCCCTGGTGAAACCCATCTGCGACCTCTTCCTCGAGGTATTCAGTCTGAACGCGCAGAACAATTGGCTAAGAGGACGGGCGGTGGTCGTCGTGCTGCACCAGCTCCTCGGTGGCACGATCGAGCGCAAGATCCGCGACCTGTTCACCACATATACATCCGCCAATGCTGTCGCGGGCTATGTCGACAAAATTGCCGACACGATGTGGCCGGGCGGCCGCATGAAAGTGGCTGATCCCAACGCAGCACCAAGAAGTCAGAAGGATAAGGATAAGTCCAGACGCGAGGCGAAGGCTGTGCTAGAGACGCTGATACCCGAGTTGGCGAGCAGTGTGGTGGGTAGGCAGAATGCGGTCATTGCCGCCAGGCGGCTGGAAGGGATGATCAACAACGAGCGTTTGGATACGCATTTGGTGTATACAATTATGGATGAGGTCTTAGGGGTGCTGTTCCCTGATGCTTAGAAGGATAAGGACTAAAGGCAGTCGCGCTGGGATTGGAGCTGGACTGCTGGTCTTCAGACCGATTATACGCGCGTATAGACTTCTAGCAATGAAGTTTATGTCACTTCAGGCAAGTGTCACAGTTTGCGTTAAGGGAGAACGACTTGTTAGGTCTAGTTGTATGAAGCAAGGTGCACAACTAATGCAATCAACTCTACTTATTAACGTGTTTTATTAGCTTGCGCACGCTACTAGTACTGTACTAGTACTGTGTCTGTGTGCACAACGCCAGTAGTTGAACAACACCTAGAGCACAAATTTAACGTACATGTATAACGAGTCGGACAGCGGAGGAGTCAGACACTTTTGCCAAGCCCCCACCAAACTACCCTTCACACAGTTATGCCTCCTCAACAACACTAGTTAGACGCGTTAAAGGAAGCTTAGATACAGCTTGCGCTCCAGGCTCTTAAACAAGACGCGACTCTATCCCTGCAACGCGCTGCTGCTATCTACATAGTTCCTTAAAGCACACTAAGCGACCAACGCACTGGACAATCTTCACGAGCTAATTCTAACGTACTCCACAAGCATGCCGGTCACCCAAGTGTACCGGTCACTTTTGCCAAGACCACACCAACACTATAACTACTTTGCAGTACCTTAGTACACAGCAGCATTCTACTATGCTACACAGTATATTGTACTAATCTATAGTACTTTACGCATCTTTCTTACAAGTTGTTCTGTTGTGCCCTGTCTCGCCACATGTGCTACAGCACCTTAAAGACTAAGTGCTCCCATCAACGCGTAACCTCTTCTTTGCCTTCTTCCCATCACTACGGGCCTTAAACTCCTTTAGAGTAGTCAGCCACACTCCCTTAGCAAAGGTTAGAGTCCCTTCTTGCTGTACTTGCTTCCTTTTGTGTGATTTACGACGTGTGGCGGCCTCGTTGGCTGCCTGTAGGTCAGCAACCTGGTTGCGCACTAAAACCAGTGAATGCGCCATCAGCTCTGCGCCTTTAGTGAGCTAATTAAGAGCGTCAACCATAGACGTTGGCGAGCTATCAGCGTGTCTCTAAATCCTCTCTCAAATCAGCTTCGATTGAGACCCAAATTCTAGGGTGTTGCTTGGTGTTTTAGACTCCCACGTACTGTTGTCCACAGTAGGTGGCGTTAGTGTGCGCAGCCGTACTTCAAGCTTTGATAGCACAGCCTCTAGGTCAAGTGGGACTAGGCCAGCACCTCTGAATCCTCCCTGGATGTTACTCTCTGTGATTAAGGCGTCAAAAGCTGCTTTAAAGCACGGCAAGAACTCAAGTTTAGTGATACGCGTAATCTTGCTGCGCATTAGCCGCTCAGCTTGGCGGCCATAGGCCTTCTTCAACAGAGAAAAACAGCCTACGTCAAGTGGCTGTAGTAGGTGCGACGAGTGTGGAGGCATACACAGGGTAATAATCTTGTGTTCCTCGCAGTACTGGTGGAATTCGACTGAGTTGTGGCTCTCGTGGCCGTCCAGAATGAGCAGCCGATAGCTGCCAACAGTGCGCGCCTTTGTGTGCTCATCAAAGTGCTTCAACCACTTAACTCCAAGCTTGTTGTTAGTCCAGCCGTTGTCAGAGACATTAAGAACCCAGTTGTCAGGTATACTAGGCTCCTTGTACCAGGCAGAGAGGTGGTGCTTGCTAGAGAAGATAATAAAGGGTGGGATAGACCAGCCCTTCGCGCAGATGCCTTGGATGATGCTGGTCCACTCTCGGTCGCCCTGCTACACTGTCTTTAGTCTCCCTCAATGCTCAGAGCCTGTAACAACAGCTCCTGTTGATATAACGCCCATCATAAAGCTAGATTTGTTAAAGTTGTAGGTGTCTTTATCTTGTATACTATACTTGGCTTTAGTATTCTCTACTAGTTAGAACTAGTCCCTATTCACCTTAGGATCCTTACACAGAGCTCTCTTATAGTCGTACTTGCGATTGAATTTGACTTTGAGCTCTAGCCAACATTTTACAAAGTTGGCAGCCTAGTTCTTGCCAACGTAGGGCTGGTGGCGCTCAGCAAGCAGAGAATTGGCCATATCCTCTACATCAGCAAGCCGGGGCGAGTATCCTCGCTCGTCTAGCCTCAACACGTGCTGGACAATTACCTCCTCTTCGTTCTTTGTAAGATTCATAGTATTAGGTGTGTAGTCGCAGCGTGGGGTGGCTCCAGCAAGTCGGTCACTAAGCGTGCTTTGAGAGACGTTGTAGATTGCTGCAGCGCGTCGCTGAGAGAGCGTCGCGTCTTGTTGGATAGCCTGGAGAGCAAGCTGTATGTCTGCTTCATTAGAGAGCTTTTTTATGTTGCTGCGTTGAGGCATTGTTAGTAGAGTGAAGTTTGGTGTGGTCTTGGCAAAAGTGACCGGTACACTTGGGTGACCGGCATGCTTGTGGAGTACGTTATAGCCAACTTGTAGAAGCTAGACAGCAACAAGGAGAAGGTAATTGTTAACTATGTTCTTGAGCTTGTCGCGTGAGAATTTCCCCCTCAGCTCTCAGATGTTGCCACTATGGCCAGTTCTTTGCGTGCTGAGCGCAATCTAGGCCCTATTGGCACAAGGTGGCCTAGTACATTTGTTAGGCTGCACTCAGAGCTCACAGTCAAGTTTAATCTCAAAAACAACTACAAGAGAGCCCTCTGTGAGAATCCTGTGGTTATTAGAAACTGTAACGGTCTAGACTCTAAAGCTAAAGAAGAGCTAGAGCTAGCCAGTTACATTAGCTTAGCCAGCTTGGCTTAAGCTAGATATATATTATCTACGCAGTTGACTAGACGTCTAGTTAACTTGTGCATGCTTTTTAGCAAAAGTTGTTAGGAAGTAGATATCCTTTATTGGCCTTTGGCCAGACTACTACAGAAACTAGTTTAAGCTAGTAGAGGGCACAAAGGCTAAATATAGTATCCTGACAAAAACACGTAACATACCTCACGGGCGAGTGGCCGGCCCGGGCGAGTGACCGGATCTTGCCAAGACCACACCAAACTTCAACTTCTCTTGCATATTACAGCAAGTTGCTGTAACTTAGTAACGTACTCTATCACCGAGCCAGTCATATCACTGAACCAGTCAAAATCTCTTAACGCGCCCAACTTATGTTGTAGCAACTTGAATTACTTGCTATTAAACAGTAATCTAGTGTACTGCGTGCTTTTATTAGATTTAGAATCTTCTTCTGTATCTTTCTAACACGTTTAAGCGTTGTGCCCTGTGCCTCTACAGTTTCTACAGTGCTGTTAGGCTAACTAGGTCCTTTCTTAAGTACCTGCACCACAAGTCTTCTTTAATAGCTAAGCTGCTACAGACACCTCAGCAGCTACCTGTGATGCTGCTAGGCTATACTTAAGTGTGCCGCTATGCTAAATTTGCTTTTGCTTGCGCAACTTTCTCCTAGTTATAACTGCTAATTACTCTTTAAGCTTAGTAATGTAAGCAGCTTACAGCACGTTTTAGTGCAGCATTAATTCACTACCTTTTATAAGCTAAGAGAAGCTAGCCTAGGCTGTGACTAGTAACTAAGTAAAGGAGTTATGTACAAGCTTTAACTAAGACCTAAACTTGTGTGTATTGCTTAGAGTCCTTAACTGCCACAGTGTCTCTAGTAGAGGGGGTGCTAGTGGGGTATAGTGTCGCACCTTAAGGCGATCTAACACTACCTGCGCGTTAGTAGGGACTAGCCCTAATACCTTAAAGGCCTTCTAATAGTTAGCCTTTGTAAACACGTTAAGAAACGCGTCTCTAAAGGCTAGAAGGAAGCCTTCCTTGTTGATGTAGAAGACGCGTTGGCGTGCTAAGTCCTAGACGTGTTAGGAGTACTTGCGCTTTAACAGCAAGAAATAGACCACGTTAAGTGGCTAGAGGATGTGTGACGAGTGAGCTAGCATACAGAGAGTAAGGATCTTGTTATCTAGGCAATAGTCCTTAAAATCCTAGTTAAGGTGGCTCTTATAGCTGTCCAAGATAAGTAGCCTATATCCCCCTACCTAACACGCTCTTGTATGCGCGTTAAAATGCTTCAACCACTTAAGGCTAAGCGTGTTGTTTGTCTAGCCGTTCTTAAAGACAGAGAGCTTCTAATTGTGTGGTATATCTGTCTCCTTGTACTAGGCAGAGATGTGGATGCGTCCTTTATAGATGATGAAAGGTGGGGTTGCATATCTAGCAGCGCAGATGCTCTGTATAACTGTAACCCACTCCTAATTGCCTGGCTGAACAAGCTTAGGTTGAGCGCGTCTCTCAGCGCCTGTGAAAACCTTCATTAACCCTATCACGCCTATCTAGAACCTAGTCTTATTAAAGTTGTGCACGTTATTGTTGTAGATGCTATACTTAGCCTTAGTACCCTCTACTAGCATAAACCACGTGTTAATTACCTTAGGATCTTCCTACAGTATCCTATGTCTGTCCTTTGCTTAGTTAAATACTATCTTAAGCTAATCTAAACATGTTATAAATCTTATAGCCTAGAGTTTACTAACAGGCTCCCTACTATGCACACCTAATAGTTTATTAGCTATATCTACCACCTCACATAGCTAAGGCGCAAATCCTTACAAATTAAGGTTAAGGATATATTAGACAATTGTCTGCTCTTTAGTTACAGTAAGCTTCTAGCAGTTTGCGCGTACGTTAAGTTAAAATGGAGTATTGCTAGCGCGTTCAGAGAGCCTGCGTTGGTTAACATTAAATGCAGCAGCAGCAGCCCAATGGCTCTGAAACTGTCCAGTATTGTAGGCCTAGAGAGCAAGCTGTAGTCTCCCTTTGTGATGAAGCAATAGGTTGTAATGTTGTTAAGACATACTATAAAGTGCGGAGTTGTGTTAGTCTTAGCAGATTTTGACTAGTTTGGTGATATGACCGGCTTGGTGATAGAGTACGTTATAACTTACAGTATACAGCACTAATCTATAGTATATTGCGCATCTTTTATGCACATTCGCGCGTTGTGCCCTGCCTTATTACACCTGCTACAGTGTTGTAAAGACTAAGTGCCTAGTTTAACACGCCTCTTCTTGCTTACCTTCTTCCTATTACTACAGGCTTTAAATTACTTTAGGGTAGTTAAGCGCACTCCTTTACTAACAGTAAGAGTCCCCTCCCTCTAGATCTGCTTCCTCTTGTGTGATTTACAGCGTGTGGCAGCCTTATTGGCAGCTTGAAGCTCTGCGACCTAGTTGCGCACTAAAACTAGTAAATGCGCTATTATCTCTGCGCCCTTAGTAAGCTAATTAACAGCATTAACTATTAAAGTTAGAGATCTATTGCTATGTTGTTAAATCCTCTCTTAAATAAGCTTTAATTCTGACCTAAATTCTAGGGTGTTCTGTAGGGTTTGAGAGTGCCACGTACTCTTATCTACAGTATTAATAGGTAGTGGTGGAGTACACAGGCGCACTTCAAGCTTTGATATTACAGCCTCTAGATTAAAGGGGACCAAGCCAGCACCTCTTAATCCTCCCTAGATATTGCTCCTAGTAATAGCGGCATTAAAAGCTCCTTTAAAGCACGGTAAAAACTCAAGTTTTGTGATGCGATTTATCTTGTTGCGCATTACCGGTAGCAGCTCAGCTTAGCGACTATAGGCCTTCTTTATTAGGGCAAAACAACCCACGTCAAGCAGCTGCAACAGATGCGATGAGTGTGGAGGCATACACAAGGTAACAATCTTGTGTTCTTCACAGTACTAGTAGAACTTAACTAAATTATGGCTCTCATGGCCGTCCAGAATAAGAAGCTAATAGCTGCCAACAGTGCGCTCCTTTATATGCTTATTAAAGTGCTTTAGCCACTTAATACTAAGCTTATTATTAGTCTAGCTAACGTGGTTCACAAGCCAGTCGCCCACCCAAGTGAGTCGCCCACTAAACACCCGCGCCCCGCCTGCGCAGCAACAACGCGTAATGCCACAACAACGCAACATGCAAAAGACCTATACTGAAGGAGATATATTTATTGCTATCTCTAATATTAAGTCTAAGCAGATACAGAGCAAAAGACGCGCTGCAGCAGTCTATAACATCCCACAAACTAGGCTGGCGGAATGGGTATACTCCAACGTCCTTCGTGGGTACCCCCCAAAACCTTATCAATAATACATGGATTCTAGCGAACTAGGGCTGAAAAGAAAGAGAAAAACCACCTCTACATTTTTGTAGTAGAAGGTTTTGTTATAACTATTAAACTGCACAAGCTAGAGGCTAGAAAACGTCAAAAAAGGGGGGGTACCTAGCGAGCATACCCATTAATAGGTATACTTTGCTAGGTAGTGTTAATAACTCAGCTAATACTAGGCAGAATCAGCTAATTCTTTTTTTATTGGAAGGCGCAATACTAGGCGCTTCTATCAAATAATAGATTATGTAAGCGTATCTCTGCTAGTTAAGAAGCTATAAGCCAAAACGTAAAAAAGCATACCCTACCCATCCGCCAGCCTACCACAAACAACAATCCAAGACTAACGCGCTAGACAACACCCTTAACGCGACTGCGAGCTAAAATTAAAGCGCCTTATAAAGCTAGAAGAGGAGGCAATTATACAGCGTATACTTAAAGAGAGTCTACGTAGAATACTGCCCTTAAAGGCGCATGTACAAGATATAGCTAATAGACTGCTAAGGGAGCGTGGTAGGAAGCCTACAGGCAAGAACTGGGTTAATAACTTCATTAAGCGTACACTAGAGCTGCGCACGCAATAGAGCTGTCTGTACAATTGCCAGCAAGCTGCCTGCGAAGACCTAGCGCTTATCTAGCCCTAGTTCAGCCTAGTTTAATTAATAAAGACAAAGTATAGTATTATAGATAAGGACACCTAGAACTTTAATAAGTCTAGCTTTATAATAGGCAAGATATCCTCTTAGCTTGTTATTACAGGCTTAGAGAAACCTAGGAAATAGAAGAAACTATAGCCTAGCAATTGTAAGTAGGTTACCCTAGTACAAGGCGTTGCTGTAATAGGGTGTATTATCCTACCCTTCCTTATCTTTATAGGCAAGGTCCTAATCTCCTCCTAGTTTACTAGTCTACCTTATAACTAGGTTGTTACAGTCTCTCCTACTAGCTAGACTAATAATAATATTATAATAGCATGGCTTAAGCACTTTAACGCCCATACAAAGGTAACCTCTGCTAGGGCATATAGGCTGCTTATTATTAACAGCTATAAGAGCCACTGCTCAATAGAATTCTAGGACTACTACAAGGAGAACAAGATTATCACTCTCTGCATGCCACCACACTCATCGCACCTCCTGCAGCCTCTTAACGTTGTCCCATACTCGCTGTTGAAGCGCTACTACGGCAACAGGATCTCGCTCTTAGCACGCAGCTGCATCTACTATATTAACAAAGAAACCTTCCTACTAGCCTTTAAAGTAGCTTTTAAGAGGATATTTATACTAGAGAATGTTTGTGCAGGGTTTTAAGGCGCTAGGCTAGCCCTGCATGACCCTGAGGTTGTGTTATCAAAGCTTGATGTACAGCTACGTACGCCAACACCACCTGCACCAGGCACTGTCGCCTAGGAGGCGCAAACACCACGCAACACCCACGAGATAGAGGCGCAGTTAACGCTAATCTAAAATCGCATGCAAAATTATTATAGGTTACTAGCAAGTTTATTAGATAAGCAGGTTAAGCAATTAAGTAAAGGTGCTTAATAGATAGCTTATAATATAGTGTTAGTGTAGGAGGAAATAGGCTGCCTACAAGACACTGTTACTACGCTTACAAAGCACAAGACCTATAAAAGGCAGTATATACGCATAGAGGAGACTCTAACAGTTAGTAAGGTATCTAACCTAGTTGCTAAAAAGGAGGGTAGTAGTTGTGAGAAGGGCAAGACGCCTGCGAAGAGGGTGCGCGCAGAGAGGCGCTGCAGCCATTACAGCAAAATTAGGCACAACTCCCACACCTGTAAAGTAGAAATTAAGGACATAGATAATAGCAACGCTTCTAAATAATATTATAATGTTATGTGTAGTATTGTAATTTATTGTAGTGCTGCGCTGCACTGCTGCGTAGGCGCGGCGCGGGTGTTTGGTGGACGACTCACTTGGGTGAGCGACTCGCTTGTGAACCACGTTATTCTTAGAGACAGTAATAACCTAGTTGTAAAGTAAAGATAGCTCCTTATACTAGGCAGAGAGGTAGTGCTTGCCTTAGAAGATAACAAAGGGTAGGATACTCTATCCTAACATGTTAATGCCCTAGATAATGCTAGTCTACTCTTAGTTGCCCTGCTGTAATGTTTTTAGTATTCTATAACACTCTAAGCCTGTAACAACAGCTCCTATTAATATAACACCTATTATAAACCTAGACTTGTTAAAATTATAGGGTCTTTATCTAGGATACTATACTTAGCTTTAGTATTCTCTACTAGGTAGAACTAGCCCTAGATCACCTTAGGATCCTTGCAGAGGGCTCTCTTGTAGTTGTACTTTTAATTAAACTTAACTGTGAGCTCTAGGCGACGCTTAACAAACGTGCTAGCCTAATTCTTGCTAACAGGAGGCTAGTAGCGCTTAGTAAGTAGAGAGTTGGCCATATCCTCTACATTAGTATGTAAAGAAAGTAGGGGAAGGACTAGACTACTTTCTTCCTAGTCTAGAAGGACCTAGACAAATCTAGACTAGCTTTGTCTAAATAGGAAGCGTATAGCCTAATAGAGATAAGGTAGGGTTTTGTAATAAAATAGACAAGTTATTATATTAGATACTAGGTAGAGATTCCTAGGCTAGGTACAGAGCAAACAGAGGGGGGAGAGCTAGAGGTATTTATACTTCTTCTCCTCTGTCTGTATTTCTAAGAAGAACGTTCTAGACTCCTCTAGGTAGGTCTACTTAGTAATCTATGCTTAGTATTGCTGTATATATAAGCAAGATTATGTAGGTGCATGTGTAATTATATACGTTAGCATCTTACAGAGTAGGCTACTCTATTTGTAAGCAGAGGGTCTAGAACATCTCTAGTTACTAAAAATAGAGAACAGCATATCTTAAGAATAAGAGGAGATACAGGCTTCGTAAGCACACCATTCTAATCCTCTCTCCTTAGAGATTACAATAACAATGCTTAGGTAAGCATAGCACTATACCTAAGAAGGAAATACGCTAGAGAAAGATTATAAGAACAAAGTCTTATAACTTTACATAGTAAGCTAGGGTAGGTATCCTTGCTTGTCCAGCTTCAGAACATGCTGCACAATTACCTCCTCTTTAGTGCTTGTTAGCTTTATTAAGTTAACCTTATAATTATTTCTTAAGAGCGTTCTAGCACGTTATTATCTTAGCGTTCTTTCTAATACCTTGTAGATTGTTGCAGCACGTGGAATAGTAAGAGTCGCGTCTTGTTTAAGAGCCTAAATAGCAAGCTATATATCTAGTTCCTTTAAGACACTTTAAGCCTTTTTGCGTTAAGACATTGCGGGTTGTATGAAGTTTGGTGTGGTCTTGGCAAAATCTGGTCACTCGCCCGGGCCGGCCACTCGCCCGTGAGGTACGTTACACTGTGTTTTTCTGCAATCTTTGTATAGACAACTTCTTCCTCTAGTCACATTGCAACTATCTCTGCAAGGGCATTGCTTAATCCTAACATAGTGTTAAGTTATTACGCGTTGAAATCTAGTGTAGATGTTACGCACCGGGCGTTCAGTGACTCCGGGCGTTCGGTGCACGGACACGGTACGCGCCGCACTTTTCCTCATTCACGCAAGAGGAGGCACCAAGCGATGATGACCTCACGCCACCAACAACAAACAAACACAACGCCTGACAACTCAGCTCAAGCCAAACGACTTTGCCCACAAACTGCCTTGCCTAAGGGTTGAGACATTGTGCCACCTCGGCACGCTGATCCGAGCCTCCGTCATGTACACTACCGGTAAGACTAGCACGCCGTAACTAGGCACGAGGCGCGAGGGCACGACTATGTGGAGCTCCTTCTACAAAAAGATGGGGTGATGCAATAAAAATCGGATTTGCTAGCGCTCATATCGATCGTCGCTGCTCGTGAATTGAGACTCGTAATCACTTTCCTCCCTCGGATACTCGAGCGCAAACATCCCTTAAGAGAAGAACGTCAGGGCTTGTACTTAACACTTCACCTACTACTGCACCTAGAGCTTGTCTTCGACACTTTCGCACGACACACACAACCGCCAAGATGTCCGCAGTATCTTCCACAATCTCCTCCGTCGTCTCGTCGGCCGCCGCAAGCGCAACAGCTAGCTCCTGCGCATCCGCCGATTTCACAAAGGTACATCTCCCCCGACCTCCACGACCTCTGTGACCTCTTCCCCCAAAGTCCACATTCTAACAACCCCCAGTTCCCCACCTCAGATATCGCCTGCGCTGTTGGCAGCACCGCCGCCGCGCTCGCCAGCAACACCTCGTCCGTCTTCAAAGAATGCTGCAAATCCGCACCCGTCGAGTCCTTCAATGGCGACTGCGGTTTCTACTGCCTCAGCGTCGAGCAGTCGGTATCTGATCTGCAGACCTGCTTCATGGAAAACGGGATCAGCCCTGAGACCATATTTTGTAATGGGAATAACACTGCGTCAGCGACCGGCACGCCTTCGGGAGGGGCTAGCCCGACCGCGAGTCGAAGTGCTGGTACAAGTGGGACGGGCATGAGTGCGAGCGGAAGTGCTGGTGCGGCGAATGGTGTTGTACCGCAGGTGAGTAAGGCTGGGCTGGGGATTGTGGCGATAATAATTGTGTCGGTGTTTGCTGGGGCTACGTTGTAGTTGGATGTGAGAGAGGGGATTGAGTATGCTTATTACAGCACACTCCATGAGAAGAAGAGAAAGCCAGTGTCGACAAGTGAGGATAATAATCGAACTCGGTATGATAATTAACTTCAACAGCCCTGCAGGTGATGATCAACGAGCCCTAGGCGAGTCAACGCGACCAGCTTCTCACCTCCTGTAGACCTAGTAGCCGGACCATGGGCACTCCAGCTGTTCTGCTATCCAGCTCAGTATTGTGTTTACCAGGATCGCTAACAATGATAATCTACTGACACCCGAGATCATATCCTACCATCATTATTCCGCCCTTTCCCCACGGTAATCGTCAGTGGAGAATTTGAGATCTAATTTTAGCCCTTGCAGCGAACGAATAACAACAGACAAAAGAGCAACGGAGTCATTGAACCAGGCACCAGTCTGGACATGGGTATGCCGGTCACACGGGTACCGTGCCCGTGCACTCAACGCGCCTGTTCGGTCAACGCGCCGCAGCACCCATACAACGATACTTACAAAATGAGGTCATTAAGACACACAAAAAAGTTACTATTGTGAGATTGTTTGCTGGAGTGATCTGTAGATCTCTGCGAAACTTTCTATTATTATATTTTTTTCATGGAGCAATTTTGCGGCTGCGGCTGTTGTACTTTGGTGGAGGTGTTGGTGTACAGGCCTCAGCAACAAGACTACGCTGTGCAGCCACTGCACCACGCCTTTACTTCTTGTTTGGTGCAGGAACTTCTAATGCCTTGTGATTGCCGCTTCTAGCTAAATGTACAGCTTTTTAAGCTTTGTGAGCTTCTTTATCTTTTCGTCTTTGATCCTTGCGAGCATCAATTGCTGTTGCGGTATCAAGAGCAAATGTATATCACGAGTGTATTGTGTTGTTCTGTGTTTTCGTGTTGATTGTGTCTTTGCTCGCCAAGGCTCGCTGCGGGGTCTGTTTTGATGACGTCTTTGTGATGCAGCTAAGGTAAGAGGTGCTAAACAATATGAGGAAGTAGCACCAGACCACTGCCAACAACACGTGATCCGCTTCTCCTCTCAACCGTTACAATTGCCTTAGGTACCGGTACCGTGTCCGTGCACCGAACGCCTGGAGTCACCGAACGCCCAGCGCGTAACATCTACACTAGATTTCAACGCGTAATAACTTAACACCATGCTAGGATTAAGTAATGCCTTTGCAGAGTTAGTTACAATGTGACTAGAAGAAGAATTTGTCTATACAGAGATTGTAGAAAAACATAACGTAGATTATCACCAAGCCAGCCATATCACTAAACTGGCTATTTTCTCTTAGCACAACTAACACAAGTAAGAGCTTCTAATTATAGGGTATATCTGTCTCCTTATACTAGGCAGAGATGTGGATGCGTTCTTTGTAGATAATGAAAGGTGGGGTTGCACACCCAGCGGCGCAGATACTCTGGATAACGGTAACCCACTTGCAATTGCCTGGCTGAACAAGCTCTAGCTAAGCACGTCTCTCTAAGCCTGTTACAACCTTTAAAGACAAAGCAACACCTATCTTAAACTTAGTTTTATTAAAGTTATTGTCAGATAAGAGCGAGCGGAGAGAGATTGAATCTGCGCAATCGAGCAGGGACCTGTCGTGCAGCCAATCAGCAGTTGCCAGGTCGATTAAGCGAGACCTGGCAACTCCTGATTGGCCCGCACACCGGCGGCCGCGAACAGCGCTAATTCCCCCCCCACTTCAATCCTGTAGCAACCAGCACGACGCCACGGCAGACACCATCGCCACAATCATCAATAAATCATCATACCACCTAAGATCTCATTAAGCACATACTCTGGCTCACAGTGCAAGCATCTAACAATTAAGAGTCTTACTACTACAACTAAACTGCTGCAACCTTACTACCGCAATTAAAATGGCGCAACTAGCGTACTGCGACCTAATAACATTCCTTAGGGAATAAGCTGACTGGACTAGCTAGCTCACGCAGCTACAGGCGAGATGCCTGTCGCGCAATATCTAGGACAAGATTAACCTAAAGACAACTACACTACTACTATTAAAGCCACTCTTGCTAAGGGCTCTAACTATTACTAACTACGCGCTAGCCACAAACACTAATATACTATTAAGGCTAACTAAGCTATTAATAACAGGCTAGAAGGCATTTAAGGAAGACCTTAAGTACTATAAAGTACTCCTTAAATAATATAAGAATAATTAATATAAATATAAGAAGGAGGAAGCAAGCCTTTAGTATATTATTATATTTATTTAGTTAACTATGTTGCTATATCTACTACGCACATGCTGTCTTCCTAAGAAACTACTGTAATAGTAGATTACAGACCTACAACTTACTATTAGGGTTAATAAATAAATTAAACAAGAATAAGCCTAAGATAGATACCTCTTAGCACTTAAGCTAATAAGAAGCACATTATAATAGGATACCTAGCTAGCTAAGTATAACTAGGCAGCTACAGAAGCAGAGACACACAAAGTTACTAAATTATTACAATTAAATATAATAACAAAGGACTTCCTAACAGCTATAAACAGGGTTACACCTATCTAGGCTACAAGCTTTTAAGATAGTAGACACTTTAAATCTAGTATAAGTTAGAAGGAGATAATAAAACACTACTAAGAGTATATAATAATAAATTATCCCCTTAGATTAGGGCAGCACAAGGCCTTTGTAGCTAATAATATAGTATTTCTTGCTAAAGGGGGTGCAGCCTCCTAGAGCTATAAAGGGGACGCCTAATATGCTATAAGCGTGCTATCTAACTAGGGCAGACCTTAATATTAATATATAGTAGGTAGGAAAACTACTATGCTTAAGCAGCCTTTAGATTAAGAGCCTACTTCTACTAGGGGAGCAAAATACCCTATATGTAGACAACGCTACTCTATATAGGATTACTACTATATTAATTAAGACAGAGCTCCTAAGTAGTAGAAACTAAATAAGATTATTTCTAATCTTATTAAGTTTAAGTGTAAGAAAGATATTACCTTTTAAGGGCTACTTTATATATAAAGTAAGAGTAGATTAAGAATACTAGTAGTAAAGCACTTACACACCCCTACCCTAGAAATCCTAGATAATTAACTAGACAGCTAAGAAATTACTAATATTAAAGCAGCACTTAGCACAGTAAACTAACAGGACGCTGCTAACTATCTACTATAGAAGTTATTTATACTTAACTTAGGTTCTACCTGTTATATTACTAACAACCCTAACTACGTCTATAGGTTCTAATAGCTATTACCTAGAGACTTTATATAGGCTAGGAATTCTAAGGTGCTAGTTAGAGGATATAGATTAATTA